CAACTGATGAATCATTGAACTCTACATCAAAAACTAATGATGCACTATCTGTTGGCTAATTGAATTTAAATAAATAAAAAAATGTAAAAAAATAAAATAAGTCTTTATTTTACCTTCACATTTGAGTCATACTTGAGCTGGGTGTAGAATTCTGGTTTGGGAAAAATTTTCACTAAAAATTTTGATGGCCTAACCTCATTTTCCTCTCATTTCCAATGTTGCTTTTGATGAGTCTAACATCATTATTATTTCTACTTCTTTGTATGTATGTGTTTTTCAAAAATCTTTCACAATTTTTTTTTCTAAAATTTCACTGTTATATATTTTGGTAATGGCCTTTTTAATTCATTTTATCGAGTCCTTAATGGACTCTTTAACTTCAGGTTTTTTTGTTTTGTTTTGTTTTGTTTTTAGTATGACTGTGAAAATTTTCCCCTTTCTGTTTTCTTCCCCTACTGGATTCCTATTAATTGGATGTTAATTTTTCTGTTTGAGTCTATAACATTACCTTAAAAAGAACCCTCTTTTATCTTATGGGCCTATTTTCTGGGATACTTCCTCAATTTTGTATTTCAACTCTTCTATGAATTGTGTATGTGTGTGTTTACCATATTTTTAATTTTAAAGGACTTTATTTTTGGTTATCTGAATATTCCTTTTGTTCTTGCTTCATGGATTGTCTCTTATTTCTGTGAAAGTATTAATTACAGCTTTTATTGAAGATTCCTTTTGTTTTCTGCATTATCTTTCCCCCTTCTGGGTTTTTTTTGCATGTGTTTCTTGTTTATTTTGTCTCTATGTTCAGGTTGGAGATTCCCTTCAAATGTCTGGGGATCCTGGCTCTCTACTCATATCTAAGAATGAAGCTCAAAAAAGAGGTTAGAAACTCTGTGAACAGAGCTTTCCTAGTGGTGGGCTTCCCCATAGGGTGTTGGTCCAGGATACTGCTGTCTGATTGGAGAGCTGTACATATCAGAGTCTGCAGGTCTTCTTACTAGTGCTGTTCAATTTCTCTAGAGAGGTAACCTTGTGTTCTAAGCCAATTTGGAGGACAAGATCTAGAGGCTTCACTGCTCCTTTTAAAGACTTTCAAACAAACCTCTTATTTGGTTTCATCTATCACTTCCACCTCCAGGAATGCCTCTAATTTCTGAGGCTTTCAAGATTACCGTAGTACAAATTAGCTTGATTCTTTTGACTTCTGTCTATACTCCCCCACTGTGCCAACACACACACACACACACACACACACACCATCACTTCAAGGCTCAGAACTCTCTACATTCTGATAAACCAGTTATCACTTGTTCAGTTGCTTACCTGAGTGTAAATTTTTTGACATCATTTGTCTGCTTTTGTATCTCTTTCTTTGCTTTTGTCCTTCTGAGTTTATGCCTCTTTTATTCCTTTATTGTCCTTTTAGTGGAATCACAAGAAGGAGTAGAAATAAGCAAATGCATTTATTCAGATACACTATATTTATAGCTCTTTTAGGGGGCACCTGGGTGGCTCATCCAGTTCAGTGTCTAACTTTGGCTCAGGTCATGATGCCTGGGTACTGGGATCAATCCCTGCTCGGGGCTCTGCTCTTTGCTGTGAGTCTACTTATATCTCTCCCTCTGCCCCTCCCCTGCTCATGCTCCCTCTCTCTCTCTCTCTCAAATAAATAAATAAAGTCTTTTAAAAAACCCTATATTTATAGCTCTTTTCATTCTACAACCCTATTTGCTTTGGTGTTGTAACTGGCTATGAAAAAGCCATATTTTTATGCTTTTGTCTCTCCATTCCAAGCCATTTTGACAGGATAATGAGAGGAGACGGAAGAAAGGATGCCATTTAATTTTTTTTTACCTCAAATCATTGACAATTTTATTTAATATATTTTTTAAAGATTTTATTTATTTATTTGACACACACAGAGAGAGAACATAAGCAAGGGGAGCAGCAGGCAGAGGGAGAGGGAGAAGCAGGCTCTCTGCTGAGCAGGGAGCCCGATGTGGGGCTCGATCCCAGGACCCTGGGATCATGACCTGAGCCTAAGGCAGATGCTCAACTGACTGAGCCACCCAGGCGCCCCTTATTTAATCTTTTTTTTTTTTTTTTTTTTTATATTTTTTATTTATTTATTCATGAGAGACAGAGGGAGAGAGAGAGAGAGAGAGAGAGAGAGAGAAGCAGGCTCCCAAGGAGCAGGGAGCCCGATGCGGGACTCGATCCCAGGACCCTGGGATCATGACCTGAGCCGAAGGCAGACGCTTAACCATCTGAGCCACCCAGGCGCCCCCTTATTTAATCTTTTAATGAGAGATTTCTATGTGACTATTAGTATTTGTCTTCATACCTGTTAGCATCCAAGCTGGCTTGTAAATTGTGTCCCATTTACTCTGATCATCTTTCCACATTTTGGTCTCTCTTGACTTCTCAATGAGAGTTTCTCTTTTTCCTCTTTTCTCCATGGCTTCAATTCCGTGGTGGTTTTGTCCCTTATACTGACAAGGGTGACGGTGGCAGGGTGACTACAATGCTGACGTCACAAAAGTGCCCCCCATCAAGTTTACATATGGCATAAAATAGCTTTGCACATCATGTTTACTGGTTCAGTAAACAAACATTTATAGAATTTTAAAAGTTGTTTAGTTCCTGAGCAAATGCTACTGTGTCCTCAAATGCAGACATAGAAAATAATACCTAAGCTACCTACTAAAAGTTATTTGGATCAAAAGTCTGGGCTTGCCATTTGATATACAAGACCAAATACTGTTACTGCCCAGTTGCTACGACAAAGTTACATATGAAAAATGCTTTCTGCTTGATGAAATGTTTAAGCAACACATCTGAGTGTCTTATTTGTTGAAGTCAGCAAATACTATAGACATTCAGAGCAGGAGGTCAGAGGGAATAGGAGCAGAAACCACAAACGTTTACTGAATTCCTATCCCATGACACCTGTATTTTAGATGGTTTGGGAACACATTGAGGGAGAAATTTCTAGCCACTTGGGTTGGCCTTTAATGATGTGTTGAATGTGTATGGAGGGAGAAGAAAAATACAACCCATGCAAGAAGAAGGTGGACCCCAAAATACAGTGCCAAAAATGATGACTATGTGACTTGGAAAGGTGAGGGCAAGGCCTGTCTAGATTTGGTGTTCATGCTTAGGAAGAGCAGGGAATGCGATTGGTTTGTAGTCTGAGGCAAGAGCCAACAAAGGTAAGAGAACCTTCGTTTTCAGAAGAAGGAAAAGTAGCACGTTGCATTTCAGAAGTCTCTCAATATAAGACACGACTTTGATGCATTTTTATGATGTTAAATGTGGATACATTTACATAACCCCTTCAGAACTGCAGCGTCTTATTTTTGGTTGCTGGTTTATTTGCTATTTGCTCTGCAAGTATCTCTCTTACTTGGGGAAGAAGAGAGAAAATGGGGTGGTTTGGGTTCTATTTATATTGTAGGAAAAAGGATGGCAGGTGATTTATCCATAGCTCTGGCAACTATGGGAAAGATCCCTGGCCTTTCCAGAACAGAAGAAGGTGGGTTGGTTACTTTGCAGGACTTCAGGTGATCTTCATTTCAAACAATCTTTATTAGGCTCCACTATGTTAAGATATAACTTTGGAATTTCACAGTTCCTGTCTCTACTGATTTACCTAAATAGGAGAGATTTCTGGGGCATACCTGGTCATGGAGGGCAGTGGGTCATTCTCCTAAGAGACCTTAGTAGTGTTGGAGTATTAAGACTATGGTGGTCGTTCCGTCATTTTTGGTAAATAACTTTCCAGCAACTTCTCAAGTTTCACCTCTCAGTGGAGAAAGATGCTGGAGAAAGATACCAGGCCTCTTAGCAGTCAGCCGAGATTGCGCTGGGGCGCTGCAGCCTGGTCCGCTGAGCAAACGGAGCTATGGCCCTGGATTTTGGTTTTGTGATGACTAAGCTGACCCGGTTAGTAGGCTGCTGGGTTTCTTTGTCCCTGCACTTTCTGCTTGATGAGATGTTTAAGCAAATGAATAGACAACCGCTAGGAGGTACCCGAGCTATGCGTCTACCGCCGGGGCGAGCAGAAATGGCTAACTGTGGGTCCCTTGGCTCCGCGGGTACAGGCTGGTGGCGCTTTTCCAGGGTCGGGGCTGCGATTAGCTTGTGGGTGGAGCGAAGAAGAGGTCTAAGAACAAACAGCCCTTTAATCTAAAAGGCGGAGGAGGTGAACGCCCCTCCAAGGCATTATCGTCCCCGAGGTCTGCGAGCTTGGGCACCAGCTGGCTGCACATCTGGATGCAGCAGCGCCTTTTGCTGCAGAGCGGAGTCGAGGCCGAGGATCCCGGTGTGCACGCACCTCGTCGTGTGCGCGCGTGCGGGTCCGTGAGCATTGGAGTGTGTGTATCTGAGTGTGTGTCTGCGCGCACGCGCGCATGAGTGTCGGCTGGAGCCGCGGCTCCAGGATCGGGTAATGGGGGTGGGGGCCCAGGAAGGAATAAATCTCCGCCGGCCTCCTCGCGCCTCACTGCGGGTTAATAACCAACCAGTTATAGAGAGACGAAGGTGACGGCGGCAGGGTGACAGCCCCGGCGTGCCGGCTGCGTGTGGAAGGGTCAGGTTATCAGCCAGTCTCTGCCACACTCAAATATATACATACATTGGGGGTGGGAGGTTATTTATTGTTTGCCTCTATCTCCAGAGAACAAGGGCGGGAGGGAGAAGCGCGCGCTCCAGGCGAGCGTCGCGGATCTGAACGGGTCGAAGGAGGCAAATTTGCGGGTGGGGGAGGGCGGGGGAGACCTTGATTTCCACCAATCCCCGGGCATTTGTCTGCGAAGTCCGGGGCGCAGCGGAAGGCTGCGGCGCGCCGCTGAATTAACTGATGAGAGCGAGTTCTTTTCTTCTTCGGGAGGGGTGGGGAGCGAGGGTCCTGGCGGGCAAGGCGGAGAAGCCCGGGGCAGGATAGCGGTCCCGGGCTGCCTTGGAAATTTCCAAGGACTTGGTGCGTCGCGGAGAGCGCATCTGGGGGGTGCTTGGCGGTGCAGCAGTGCAGGAGGCGGGGAGAGGCGGCGAAGGGCGCAGGAGCATCTCTCAGAAGGGGACGCCGCGGACCAGTTGTCAGGGAGGGAGCCGAGCCTCTCCCCGGACCCGCGCCGAGGGCGACAGTGATGCTGCAGAACCGGCGGGAGCGACTCACCGCGGCCGCTCTCTGCGCTTTCGGAGACCCCACCGCCCGCCTTCTGCAGGGGAAGCGACCATGACCAGAGCTCGTGACTCGCCCCTCGACCACTTCCCCTAGAAAGAAACCCTTGAAAAAGTTGCATTTAAAAAAATCCTTGCGCTGACCTTTGGGGCCGTGGGGGCCGAAGAAACGTGCGTGCGAGTGCAAACAAGAAAGCGAAAGGTGTGTGTGCATGGGGGGCCGGCGGTGGGGGGACCCTCCGCTGCTACTTTGCCTGACGCTGTGCTGAGGCCGCCCCCCGGGACCTCGGGGCTGCGATGAGCCCCTGCAGACGGGCCCGGCGACACACGTCCAGAGGGGCCATGGCAGTACTAGCATGGAAGTTCCCGCGGACCCGGCTACCGGTGGGAGCCAGTGCCCTTTGCGTCGTGGTCCTCTGTTGGCTCTACATCTTCCCGGTCTACCGGCTGCCCAACGAGAAGGAGATCGTACAAGGGGTGCTGCAACAGGGCACGGCGTGGAGAAGGAACCAGACGGCGGCGAGAGTCTTCAGGTACTCCTCCCCTCGCGGCTCCTCCCAGCTCGTGTCCTTTACTCCCCGTGCGCCGAGGACAGGGTCACTGGCTAGGACCGCCTTGCAGAGGCATCTCTTTCATCCAGTGCTTCTTGTCCTACTCCCTTTCTTTGCCATTTCTAAACCTGAAGACTTTAGTCAGGGGTCCTTCCCCACCCCTTACACCAAGACATGTGCAGACACCTGCTTTGCCCACATAAAGCCTGTAAGCATTTCTTCCCCAGCCTAAGTTATAGTCAGTGATTCGTCGGTAACTGGTGGGAAGGAGAATCCAGGCGAACTTTGTCCTTTGCACTTAATGAGCATTTATCTCCTGGGCTCTGCAGATGTTTGAAGCTATAGAGAACTAGAAGGTAAGAGGCATCTTCCTGAGGTTAGGTGAGTGGTTGGTAACATAAATCACTAATGAGGGAGTGATGGGCAAATCTTGGGCAGGAAAAAAATGGACACCTATCCAGGATCCTTCTGCTTTGTGCAGTGTGCCCATGACAAAACACAAAGCACTTACTGATCCCCTACTAAGAGCCGGGTACTGTGTGATTTTTATTGAAGACTCAACAACTTTTCCAGTAACAGATATTATTATTCCCATCTTACCAACCGCAAACTGAGTCTTCAGAAGGAGTAGTTACTTCCCCGAGGTCATGACATGTCCCTTTGAAGTGTGGGAGCTGAAATTTTCACCACATAAAACTCTACAGCTCCCAGCTTTTTTTGGGGGGGGGGGGCTTAGACTGCGGAGGCCTTCTTGGAGGATGGGAGATGGGCTTTAGGTAGAGACTTGAAATCAGAAAACAAAAAGCTCAAGCCAGGTTGGAAATTAAAATGCTGGGGATCCCTCAGAGGTTGTAATTTTCCTTCCTTTCTGTGAATTTCAGCTTAAGTGTCTAAAAATAAGTTCTTGGCAGCAGGGGTTGTGTAGTTAGATTGGGAGGGAAGGCAGTGCTCCTTCCTCACTTCCCTGGGCATGTTGACGGGGACACACAGGGGCCTCCACGAGGGCCAGGTGCCCCTTTCCCCTTCAGTCCCTGGGGCCAAAGATGCTGCAGTTGGCTCTTCTTGAGACTGTAGTGGTTTAGGTGGGGAGTGCTTTCCTTTGCTCTGCCTAGGATCTTTGCAAGCAGTATAGACGGGCAGCTGAGAGCCACCTTAAACATTTTCACTACTGTTGGTTACAAATGTTCAGAAACATCTATAAATTACAAAAAACTTTTTAAACAGATGGTTTCCTTCTCCTCCTTGGTCCGGCCTGCTCCTGGAAAGAAGGTCAAAGAGATAATAGCCAATTCTTTCAGGGGAAGGCAGATGAATTCTTTGAACTGGGAGGGAAGACTTTCCTTCTCTCTTTTTCTTTAGAATTCAGCTATCATTAAGTTTAAAAATAACCCTACACCCCTTAAAAGTATGTAAGGGCCAATTTTCTTTCACCTTCACAGTATTGATTGTTGGACTCAAAAGCACCCGAAAGGCATAGCATCTAGCAATTCTTTTGTCTAAAGACAGAAAGCACTTTTATCCCAAGTAATATAAGGAAATGAGTTAAGAATTTCCCATTGATTTGCAGTGAAAGAGTCCATTTTTGGTATAGGAGGAAGAATAAGGATGCTCTTTTAGAGCATAAATTTCTTTTGCAGGACATAATCAAGTGGAAAATGCTTCATATTCTGAGAAACACAGGCTGATCATTTCTGAGACACATTTGTCCCTTGCTCTCTGTAGCCTGGAGTAATCTTCAGTGTGGCTGTCATTTGGTCTAGTCTCTATGTGCAGAGAATTACTAATTAAAATCCACACAGTATAAAAAACGGCCTAAACACATATCCCTCAAAGTTAGTGTCTGTAAAAGTGTGTAAGATGCACCATTGCTTGTTGAAAAGAGTTTGGGCTTTGGAGTAGAGTTCTAGACTAGTAGAATTTCTAGGCTGTGTGTGCCATGACTAGATAGATAAGAAACAGAGTATCTTTGGCAGTCCACTCTATCTCTTTGAGTCTTAGTTTCCATGTATTTTATTTAAATTCAATTAATTAACATATAATATATTATTTGTTTCAGGGGTACAGGTCTGTGCTTCATCAGTCTTATATTACCCAGTCTTAAAATACCCAGTGCTCATTACAACACATACCCTCCCCAGTGTCCATCACCCAGTTGCCCCATCCCTCCACCCTTTTCCCCTCCAGCAACACTCAGTTTGTTTCCTAAGATTAAGGGTCTCTTACGGTTTGTCTCCCTCTCTGGTTTTGTCTTGTTTCATTTTTTTCCTCTTTTCATAGGGATTATAACATTTACCTTGCAGGGTTGGTATAGGTTTAAATAAAAAAAAAATGATGCCAAGTGTTTGGCATTTACCCAGTCAATGGTGTTATTATAATTGTCATGAATTATAATTTTCTGTATATGTTACAACTTAAATAAGGACTTCTGGCCAGCCCATAAGAATTGGGAACATTTTGCCTGCCAAATTTGCAGAGCAACATTACAGGGCAATATACTACCCCCACCCCCCAGCTTCTTTACATTGAACCTAATAAATAGGGACGAGGAGTTTGAAAAGATAAAAGTATCATGCTTTGTTAAGTCAAAAAATTTTTTGTACTCTGCATCTATAATAAAATCTGTTGTTTTAAACGTGGATTTTTAGTTTGTGGGTAGTAGTGTATGTTTTTAAAATATTAGGTCAGCCAGAGGCCTTTATTATGTTAAGAATGCATAACTTTTGCAAACAGGTGGCTGTGTTTTCCAGTCTAAAATATCTTCTGCACAAATAGAAATATATGTACACAAATATACAATATGCACTTACGTGTGGAGATAAATGCACATTCATAAACTGTGGAGTGATGTCATGTATATCTATAAATTTATACACATATTCACATATACACATATATCAATAATTACAATCAGATAATTGACCAGTATTTAATGAATGACTGTTATACACCAGATATGAGTTAGGCCCTGGGAGATAGCAGGGAACAGGATGGACAGATTGCTTTCTCTGAGACAACTTACCTCCCACTGGGGGGTCTGACAAAAACAAATGAGTAAAGCAATAGGATGATTTAAAGCACAGTTAAATGCTATGAGGACAAAGGAAAGTGTTTTGTTATGTGTATAAGCATTAGAATTTCAGATTACATTTTGCCCTCTGTGCTTTCATTTACTTTTGTGATTTTCTTCTCTTGGCTCAGACCTTAAGTACGACTTCTCAGAGGGGAACCTTGACAAATCTCATAGGAGAAGGCAGCAAGAAAGTCACAGAGCTGCAAGAGTTTTGAACTAGAGAGGAGGTTTTCATAACATCCACATGGCAACAGAAAGATAAAGGAATCAATTGACCGTATCATAGAAATATTGGAGAGTTTCTGTGCAACTCCTGTTGCTTCTGAACGAGTAGTCAAGCAGTGTGGGGAAATGCTGAACCAAAGTGGCATTTGTCTCTTCCATCAGGGCCTTACCCACTTCATTTGCTTCTCTGAAAGAAACTTCAGCTCACAATTTATGCTCAAGACTTTATCCTTGGTGTCAGATATAGTAATAATGACAACAGTAACAACAACAAAACTGACAAATTATTAGGAGCTTATAATGTGCATGACACTATACTAAGTGCTTTACATGTACTGTCTCATTTAATTCTCCTAACAACCTTGTATAAGTGGATACATTAACATCCACATTTGTAGAGAGAAACATGCCCAGGTCCCTGCCATCAAGGGATTTGCTGTAATCCCAGGGACGGGCATATGTGTGTATGATTAACTAACCAGCTGGACATAGGGCCATCAAAGAGAGGCGGCATAGCAGAGAGTAAAACTTATGGACTCGGGAGCTGTCAGAGCATGGTTGGAATCCCAGCTGTATCCCTTTATGGTTGTATGATCATTGGTAAGTTCAACCCTCAGAGCTTCAGTCTCCCCATTTGTAAAAGGGTTGTGTGTAATAATTTCTTACAAGTTCGCAGTGCAAGTTACAAGGGTTGTGTGTAATAATTTCTTACAAGTTCGCAGTGCAAGTTACATGGTGCAAGCACCTAGAACGATGCTTGCCACATACTTCTGTTCAATGCATGGTCGTTATAACAAGAGAAACATGAGCAAAGTGCTGGGGAAGTTCACAGAGCATGGCTTTTAATTCTGCTAGAAGGAGGGAAATCAGAGAGGAGGTGGTGTTTGCACTAATCCTTAAAGGATGGTAAAATTGGGTGGTAGTAAGAGGTGAGGGCAGAAGGATATTCTAGGCAGGGAGAACAGCAAAGGCCAAAGCAGGGAGATGTGGAAATTCTTGATGTGCTTCCTGTATGGAAAGGTATTAGTTTTCCCACAAAGAATGTAGTAAGAAGGTAGACTGGGAGGTAGATGGAGGCCAGCTCACCATCTCTGAATGGGCTTGAGGTGTGGTTTGTGAAAAATGAACAAGCATCAAGGAAGTATCTAGGGGCACCGGCCATGTGTCAGCTGTCAGCAGAGTTGGCACCTCACTGTTACTGGTGGACTGGGGGATAGAGGATAACACACCCAAGTGCTCTGAAAATTCTGTATATTCACTGGGTGCTAACCATTACTCTAAGCCGTGACGTTCCTCCTTCCTTTCCCAAATTCTGAACGAAATACTACTCTAAGCATTTCTAGCTTTATGTGCCTTCATTTCTGTCCATATTTTTGAATCTGTGGACCCCGGAAGCTTCAGATATTTCCACAGCTGCCCTGGTGGCCGAAGAAGTGCCCTGGGGGGAGGGGGAGGGGAGGGAGGCAGGTGCAGCACTATGTGTTTATGGGATGTAAGGCTTATGTTTGTTAAGGTGGAGATTTATGGAATTCACTTTAAAAGTAGTTTAGGAAAAAGATAGTTTAATACATTTTGGTGCTTAAGAAAATAAGCTTCGATTATGTTGTGGATTTACAAATGTGAAAAAACTTCATTAGCAATAACCACAATAGCAAGAATAAATCATTAACACTGATTGGACCCATAA